TGGTCAAGTTAAAATAAATAAATAAAGTTAAATAAAAATAACAGTAGTAAAAAAAGACAGATGCAATAATAAAGAAGTTCCTGATTATTTAAAATTTTATTATTTCATATAGGTCACTTCCCACTTTATAAGTTGGTCCCCAATTATAAAGTAGAGGTGTATTATAGAATTTTAAAAATTTTGTGAACTTTTGAGACATAGGTGCAATATATAATTATCATTGTCTTTCAGCACTTGTTACTCCATGTAGCATTAAATACAGATTGTATTTGGCAAATAGTACAAATAGACTCTAGTACAATCTCTTTTTGTTTGTTTTTTTTCTAGTACTATCTCTTTAAAGGACTTTCCAGTCTTAGATCATGAGGCCAGCAGATGGCGTAGTGGCTACATTTGTTGTACTCCCACATGGTCTATCGTGTTTTGAGGCCTGGACTCGGTGGTTTAAAAATCACGTCAGGTGCATGTGCATGCATTCCCAAGATCCTAGGAGGAGAATGGAGGAGAAGGGATTGGGGCATGGCCATCCCCCTGGGCGGTGATTTCTCACTTTCCTCTCTCACTGTTTTGTCTCTCTCTCTCTCTTTCTCTGCATGGTAAGGGCATGCTCCCTAAGGCAAAAACCTCTAAAAATTTTTTTAAACTTAGATCATGTATCTTGGGAAAAATTTCTTCTCAAAATAATAACTCTAAGAGTTATTGATCATTATACATGTTATATAGACAAAGCCATAGATTCAGTCTAAATCCAATTTACTTAGGAAGAAAGTAGTTTACACTTAAGAAAAAATAAAAATTATGCAAAAAAAGGACAATAATATTTTATGTTATATATGAGGGGCCAAATTTTTTTTTTAGAATTATTTTATTTAACTTTATTTATTCATTTATTTATTTTTATTTGACCAGAGAGGGGCAGAGTTGGGGGGCTGGGAGTGAGAGGACAAGCTGTCAGGTCTGAGAATTGATCCATGGTCAGCCATGTGGGAGTCCGGTAACCTTTATGCATATGAACAACATTGAGGATAATACTTTATGCTAATTTAAGGTTTTATCTTCTGGGGATTTTTTTGTTTGCTTGTTTGTTTTTAATTATTAGCAAAGGGTACATGCACTCACCAGAGGAGGGAGTGGGGCAGGAAAGAGAAAGAGAGAGAGAGAGAACACCCCCTAATGAGGCATGGTCACATTGCAATCCTTTTTTTTTTTTAATTATTTTATTTAACTTTATTTATTTATTTCAGTTTGACCATAGAGGGACAGAGCAAGAGAGAAGGAAAGTGAGAAAGCAAGTGACCAAGTCCAGGACTTGAATCACCGTCAGCCGTGTGGGAGTCCAGCGTCCTTCACTACCATACCACATGCCAGTTCCTACATTGCAATCCTTTTTACCTCCATTTTCCCATGTTATCAGGATTTGGGGCATGAACAGCAATATGCCTAGGGTGTTTTGCATGCCATTGGGGCTGGATTCAAACAACTGTTGGCCATGTGGGATCTGGTTCCCATTGCATAATGCTTAATCACTGTGTTACTGAGCTGTCTCCAAGAAATTTTTTTTCTATGTTGCCCTTTAATTTGAATAACAACTTAAGTTTATATAGCTCTATAGTTTTATGAGGATACTTAAAGAAGTTTGTGGTCAAATGGAATTAAAGTATAAATTTATTTTGGTGCAAAAAGAATTGAACTCCATGCATAATATTTTCATAATGCATATTTTTTCATGAACTTTTTGAGGCCCATCATGATATCTATATCTACATCTAATCTACATATAATACACACATATATAAAATCTCTATACTGTGCTCTTGACTGCCTATAATTTCTGTATTTCTTGATTAATCTTCTTTGTCAGGTATTGATTATCCAGGGCAGAAGGAGTTCAGTGTCAGGATGTTGACTGCTGTCTGTATGGGTCTGGACAGCATTGTTATATGACATGATCCTGTCTTTCCTGACCGGAGCAGATTGACCTGGGTAAACATACATTCCAGGAGGCGTCAGTAATAGTCTCTCTTTCTTGGGGATTTTGATAGTATCTAAAACAGTTTAATTGGTCTGAGATAATCACAAGACCTGAAGCAGAGGTTGCAAGCCGCTGACCTGGGGGCTGAATCTGGCTTACAAATAGGTCAGTTCTGTTTTGTTGTCTTTTTAGGTGAATTAGGTGCCAGAATTTTTAAATCAGGAGTTCACATAAAAGTTTGGATTTCTGGCTCACTTTTGTCTGTCTCAAAAACAAAACAAAACAGAACAAAAAAAACACCAAAAAACATTAGGCAACACTATAGTCACATTTCCATATGACCACAGTTGCCAAGAGCTGGCTGAATAAGGATGGCCTTCTCTGACAAGTCACGGGGTTATCTTCTTGATTCCTATAGGCATTTGAATTTGAGAATTCTGCCTGTCTTATCTGTGAACATTCAAACTCAGGAATGGTGGGATGACTGTGAATACATAGGAAAATACAACAATTTATTCAAAAGATAGAATGCAGGTGTTGGGGGAGAGACAGTGAGAGAAAGAAAGCATATGCAAATATGCAGCTGAGAGAAACTGTAATGAAAATCTAAACGTCATGTTCCACAGAGGTACACAGAGCACATTCCTAGGTTCCAGTGCCTTTTAGTTTCTGATTCCAGTTTGTGGTGAGCCTCTGCTCTCAGCTTTTTAACTTTGTGATAAATGTCCCCTTTTTGCCTTATGTAGTTTAAGAAGATATCTTTTACCAAGAGGCAAAAGAGCCTTGACCAAGACTCTTTTGGTTAAAGGGAAAATAAAAATATCTAAAAAATTATTTTCTAACAGTGACTGAAATTGTTTCTTAACAGATGGCTTACAAAATTTGATTCTACTTAATCTGAACAACAATCAACTTACATGGCTTCCTCAAGAAATTGGCAGGTAATTTGGTTTTTAGCTCGACTTGGTTGAACATCATGCTCCTCCTCTCCACTTCTACCCTCTCATCACTACCCTTGGCGTCTGAAAGCATTATGCCCAGTGCCTAGTCCCTGGGGGGATTTATACATAGCAATCAAAGATGGATCTGAAGGACCAAGGCAAGTCACTAATTTTAAGCAGATGATTCCTTAAACATTTCAGAGAAACGAGGAACAGCACAACTTGGTAGTCCCAGTGTAAAGGTGGAGATTTGAAACAGAAAGTTCTAAATCTGATGGTGTTATTGATTTCCCAACTCTGGGGTTCTTGGAGCTTGCTTAGCCACAGAATTGGGAACATTAAATTTTATTTCATATGGGTGTTGTGAACCATTTTGTTGATGGAAAAGGTAATATAAAAGCAAAGGGTTTAAAACTCCGATATCATTTTCATAAAAAAAAAAAGACTAACACCACATTTTATTATCATTAACAACAACAAAAAGTGCTGTTTTCTTTTATCCTGCCCATCTGCACAGACTGCCATTCCAGTGCCATTCCAGAGCCAGCTAAGGGCCTTGTCCTTCTGCAGGCAAAATATCCTCTTGGGCTTTTCTTCTGACAGATGGAGAGAGAACCCTGCTCTGGCTTACTTTGGAGACTCTCTTTATTGCCTGTTGAACAAAAACAGATGTGTTACAAAATAAGACCATCCAGAGTTTTAAAGGAAGATGCAAAACTGAATCATTCTTGGCATAGGACTTTCTGCAGCACCTAAACTCTATTCCAATTCACATGTCTATACCTCTAGCATTATCTTTCCCCAATAGATTTTTATAGGGTAAGTAATATTTTAATTCAGAGTGGCTAGAAAAAAATTAGAATTTTTGTAATTACTATAAAAGAGAAATATTTATAGCCATGAAAATGCCAATGGTTGTCTGCTTGCTTCTTTTGCTTATTCTGTGTATCAATTGATTTATGTATGGATGATGATATAATGAAGAAAGAATACCTTAGAAGATCTGGTGAATCAGGTTCAGGCCATATCTTTGTGGAATAAGCCTTAGGCCATGGGCAAGTAATTTAATGCCCTAAAATGAGAGATTTAGCTTTCTCATCTCTAAAGAAAAAAAATTGAGCAGATGAACTTCGAAGTCCTTGTAGCTATCACATGATAGGATTTCACAATCTAGTAAGCTTAGTTCTACAAAGTATAATATTCAAAGGATCATATAAATCCAAGGTGATATGTCAGAATAGTGGATGAAATGATTAACTGAAAAGAATTTCAAAGGGTATAGATACATACTCTTTCACAGTTATCCTGAGTTGTCTGTTTTCTGTGTCCTAGATGTCAGTTGATAGGTCATCTCCCCAAACAGAATTCCATTTCCTGACTTTGGGAAGGTTTCTTCACTTTCCTGTGCCTTAATGTTTTTGTCTGAAAAGTGTGCATGATAATAGTATCTACATGATTGGGTTGTTTGAGGATCTAATAAGCTAATGCATAAAAGGTATTTAGGGTTCAGCCTGAGACATAACAGGTATTTCAGGTTCAGTAAGTGATCAGTGGAAGTTAACTTTTATTATTATTGGTTATTATTTTTATTCTAGCTTTTTTTCTGTTCCTCTCATTCATTCCCTTCCAGAGACAAAAGAGTGACTTATCAGTGAACCTGAATAAGCACTGAACAGGCAGGGCTCAGCCTTCTCCTCTTGCCCTGCCAGGAAGCTATTCCTCCCAGGAAATTTTGTGACAGGGTGGTATGTTTGATTTAGAGGAAGGCTAGTGGGGAGTCTGAGTGATCATGTCAGCTCTACACTAATGTTTGATTTTCTTCTCTCTGAAATCTGTGCCTTATTTCTCAACTTGTTCAGAACCCAGGAGAAGGGGAGAGGAGTTTTGCTTTACTTAAACTACAGAGTATTATGAACTTTGCATCAGCCTTGGGCGGGTGTGAGTTCTACCAGTAAACAACTGTGTTCTGAGCAGATATTCGGGAAAGAAGAAGAAAATAGGAATCCTGGGGACAGAATCTTTTATTTTGTTTGCTATAGGGCACACATGTTCACCAGGGACAGAGACAAAGAGGACGTGATCCTCTGAATATTATACTTTGTACTCCAGACAGAACTAAGCTTACTAGATTGTGAAATCATAACATGTGATAGCTGCAAGGACTTCGAAGTTCATCTACTTAATTTTTTTTCTTTAGAGATGAGAAAGCTAAATCTCTCATCTTGGGGCAGTTAAATTACATGCCCATAGCCTAAGGCTCTTTGCCCAAAGGGCCTGAACCTGATTCACCAGATCTTCCAAGGTATTCTTTCTTTATTATATCATCATCCAGGGAAGATGGCCATGCTGCAATCCCTTTCCCTCTCTTCTCTAGGGATTTTGGACACTCAAACACATACATCTGGCATGTTTTTCAAGCCACTGGGTCTGGGACTCAAACTATGCAGTTGGCCATATGGGTCCAGCTACCTTAACCACCATGTCACCTGCTGGAGTATGAACAAAATCTTTCTGAAGGAAAGAGAGAGAGAGAAAGAAAATGGGCTAAGCCTAAAGGCCTAGGTCTTTTTCCAAATTCACCAATTAATGAAGTTACTCTGTGAAGTTATTCTTCAACCCATTGAGGAGGAGGGAGGACAGGAAGAAACTGCAAGTCTACCTCCTACAGTTTTCCTTTCAAAAGCGGTTCTTCCTGATCTATGAAAGTGGAAATAGTGACATATACTTGTTTCTGTCCTCTTCTCTTTACTTGACTAAATGGATGACAATAAACTCTGAGCGCGGTATAATGCCTCGACATAACAAATGTAGAAAGCCAACACCCATAATATAAAAATCTATTGTAGAGTCAACTAAAATAATGATTATAACAACAATGAACAGAAGTTCCCACCCTTTCTCCACAAGACCTGCTCTACATATTTGTAAACATTATCTTTAATACTGGCTTGTCTTTCTTTGACCCTTTCTACTCTATTTGCCCTCTATTTTACTAAAAACCTTGAGGTCCTGCAGTTGCCTTTTCAACCTCCCTATTAGTCTACTTCTTCCCTTTCTAACTTGTCTTTCTCTGAAGTGCCATCTATTGCTTTTTCTTTGCTACTTAACCCCTTATACATTCTTTCCTCTCTTCATTCTACTGTAGATTATTTTAAACGTCATTGTGTTCTTTAGGTGCCCAAATTGAATGACTTTTTCTCTCTGTTAAATAAAAATGACATAAAATTAATGAGTATTCAGTTCAATCAGTTTTTTTTTTTTTTGAGAGAGATTTTCACTGTAGGGCGCGTGCGCTCGCCAGACAGACAGAGAGAGACATAGAGACAGAAAGCGAGAAATCACCCCCCAGGGGGGATGGTCACGCCGCAATCCCTTCTCCTCCATTCTCCTCTTGGGATCTTGGGCACGCACGCACACGCACCCGGCATGAGTTTTAAGCCACTGGGTCCGGGACGTGAACCGCGGTCGACTATGTGGGAGTCCAGCGACATAGCCATTACGCTAACTGCTGGTTCCCAGTTCAATCAGTTTTGACAAATGTACACACATCAATAAGACATGGAACATTTCCTTCAACCCAGAAATTTTATTATGTACTATTAGAGTGAATTCTTACCTCTCCTAGACAACTAATATTCTGATTTTAATCTCTACCAATTAATTTTAGCTGTCTTAGAGCTGAATAAATGGAAGCATACAGTACATATATTCTCTTGTTTCTGTCTTTTTAAAAATATTATTTTTATTGGTTTTGATATAGGGTGTATATGCTTGATGGAAAGAGAGAGAGAGAGAGAGAGAGTGAGAGAGTGAGCACTCCCCATGGGGATGGCCACACTATAATCTCTTCTCCTCTATTCTCTTAGAATTTTGGGCATGCACACACTCATGTCTGGTGTGTTTTTCAAAGTGTCAGATCCCGGACTCAAACTGTGCAATTGGTCATGAAAGATCTAGTCACCTTAACCTCTATGCCAAAGATAGACCCTCTGCATTCTTTTGTTGAGAATTAATTTTTATTTTAGAGATTCACCTCTTTTTTTGCAGTTGTCATTACTTCGTTGTCTTTGTTTATATTGAGTAGCATTTCATTGCATGAATATGCTGTTAATTATTTGTCTTTTGAATTCCTAGTGCAGGACCAGTATGAATTAAGATATCATAAAATAGTCTTGTACAACTTGTTTCATGATTATATGTTTTATTTTTTTTCTCCTTTCAAATCCTAAGAGTAGAGTTGTAGAGTCATAAGATAGCAGTGTTTGTGTATATCTTACTTTTTTTTTGGAGAGATTTTCGCTATAGGGCGTGTGCGCTCGCCAGACAGACAGAGAGAGACATAGAGACAGAAAGCGAGAAATCACCCCCCAGGGGGGATGGTCACGCCGCAATCCCTTCTCCTCCATTCTCCTCTCGGGATCTTGGGCACGCACGCACACGTGCCCAGCGTGAGTTTTAAGCCACCGGGTCCGGGACGCAAACTGTGGTCGACTACGTGGGAGTCCAGCAACATAGCCATTACGCTAACTGCTGGTTCCCCTGTATATCTTACTTTTGAAGGAATTGCCAATATTTTTGCAAAGTGATTATACTATTTTACGTTCTAACCCGCAATCATATATTTTACCCATTTTATTTTAGTAATTGTGAAGGCAAGTCCTATTGTAGTTTTAGTTTGCATTTCCCTGAAATCTCATGTTAAACACTTTTTATGTTCTTATTTACTATTTATTTATCTTCTTTTATGGGCCATTTCCAGTATTTTCATCATTAAATACAAAAATTGTGTCATTTCTTTCTTATAATTGAGTTGTAAGGTTCTTTATGTATTCTGGATACAAGTACTTTGACAAGTATACAGAGGGACCTCAGAAATTTGTGGAAAATAAAATTAAAGTTTGAGTTTATTTTGGTGCAAAATTATTGAAATCCATGCATAGTTTTTCATAATATACATTCTCAGTGAGCTTTTTTGAATATACCTCTTCTATGGAGTACAGATGTTTTCTTCCAGTTTGTGGCTTGCTTTTTACTTTTAGAAATATCCCACTGGGGTCAGCAGGTGGTGTGGTGATTAAAGGCACTGGATTCCCACATGACTGATCATGGTTCAAGTCCTAGATCTGGTGGCTTGCTTTCTCACTTTCCCTTTCTCTCTCTCTCTCTCTCTTCTCTCTGTCTCTCTCTGGTCAAATTAAAATAAATAAATAAAAAAATTTCAAAAAATTTTTAAAAAAGAAATATTTGATTATTATTATTATTATTATTTATTTTCCAGTAGGCACTCACACTTACCAGAGAGAGACAGAGAGGAGAGGGAGAGGAAAAAAACACCCTTCCATGGGGCATGGTCTCTTCTCCTCCATTTTTTCATCCTGTGGAGATTTGGGGCATGTGTACTTAGGCTCTTGGCATGTTTTTAAGCCGTTGGGTCTGAGATTCAAGCCACATGATCAGTCATGTGGAATCTAGCTCTCTTAAGCTTCCTCTTGATTTTACAAATTCTATTGGGTCATCTGAAAAGTCGTGGTGCATTTTTGCATAGAAAAAAACCCAGAAAAATACATCATGACTTTTCATACAATGTAATATTATTCAGGACCAAATTAAAAATATCACTACTTCCCAAAAAACTTGTGATATATTGCTGGTAGTATATCTGCAGTTACAGACTCAAATTTCTGTAATATTTTTTCTCCCTATCCCATTACATTTTCTATCCTCACTTTATAGCCCTAATATCTTCTTCAAAACCATAATATCCATCCAAAAGAGCAGCATCTTCCATAGCAACTAAGTGGTACTCAAATCTATTTGATACTGGACCTATATACCCTTGTTTATATCTACCAAATCTATCTATTCATACTTATGTCTATATCTATCCTCATACCTACATCTATCTATATCTATGTATATGTGTGCATTGTATGTACATATCTGCCTTTGACCTCCTGCTTTCTCTTTGATATGGCTAATGTGTACAAATAAAGAATGAAAATGTACTTTTATTTTTTCTTAAATCTGTGTTTGGACTACATAATATTGTCTTAACATAAGCCATCTGATTGTAAAAGATCTTCAAAAATGATATTTTAGCAAATGATTCAAAGTAGTTATAAATGCTTGACTGAAGTGAAACTCAGATGATCAACAAAAATTGGCTTTTGATAAGGACATTCTTATTCTAACAAGTTTTATTTATATGTTTTTTTTTAGATTAAAAAGCCTTGTATACATGAGTATAAATCATAACCAGCTAGCCATCATTCCTACAGAACTTTGTTCTCTTTTGAATCTTGTTGAACTTCAGCTTAACTACAACCAGGTCATTTACATACCTGAAGAGATTAAATTTTTGAAGGATCTCCAAAAACTTCTTCTGGCCAGAAACAACATTAAAGCTTTGCCCAACGTAAGTAAAACATGGGACTATCTGTTTTTGTTGTTAGGAATGAACTTATTTTAACATGATAGGAGGTGGTTTTAGATTAGATTTTAGTATCTAAGTATAAGGCATCATTTATTTTCCCTCAGATTGGTTGCCATTAGATTCCAAATCTCTATGGCAGGGGAGGGGTCTAATTTGGATGATTTCACGTATTTCAGGCTGTTAGATTTAGTAAATAAAAATAAGGGATGCGAGGCTAGCAGATGGTGTGGTGAAAAGGGGGCTGGACTCCCACATGAGTGATGGCAGTTCAAGTCCTGGACCCAGCGGCTTGAAACTCTACACCAAGTGTGTGTGCATGCGTGCCCAAAATCCAAAGAGGAGAATGTAGGACATGGGATTACAGTGTGGCCATCCCCCCAAGGAGGTGATTTCTCACTTTCCCTATCTCTATCTATGGTGAGCGCAAGCACTCCATGACAAAAACCTAAAAAAACCCCAAAAGGCATTGCTCACAAATTTGAATTTTAGATAAGCAATAAATAAACTTTTTAGATTAGTATGTCCCAAATATTACATGGTAGATACTTACGCTAAAAAAAGAAGTATTATTTGTCTGAAATATATATTTAAATGAACATTATATACAATATCTGAAAATTCTGATAACATGTGATAAGACCAGGGAAGAAGACAGTTGACATGACTAAAGAGAAATATCATCTCCCCAGGAACATGTTTACAAGTGATCAGAATCATTTAGTAAAGCTGTATGTTAGTTTTTACTTATGAAAAAGGTTTTGATGTTTCTAGATAAAAGAAAAATAATGCTACTTACCTCTTACTTGCCAGTAGAAAGGAATACCAGACCCCTGATACACCACCACAACCATTGTTACTACGGTAAAGCACAGTCATGTTGGGCATGTAGATGGAGACAGTAAGAGAGTTTATTTCCTTTAAAAAGAAAGGCTGTGTCAGCATAGCATGAAGCAAAAGACAGATACTTGATAAATCTTGGTGAAATTGTCAATAGAGACAACATTGGGGGATTATATTTGTTTCTTGTTTCTCAAAGCTTCTTTCCATTTCAGAGACAGATAATATCTACTGAGTCTCAGTACATATTAGATAATTTAGAGGTCTAATATTGCAGATTAGTAACTCATTTAATCCACTCAACAACCATATGAAGTGGGAGTTTCTGTTAGCATTTTCATTTTATGAATGGGGAAATCAAAGTACAAAGAGATTAAGAAATTTGTCCATAGATATGCTAATAACTTGCAGGGGTGAGATTTGAACCTAGAAGTAATCTAGTAATCTAACTCATTCTGACCACATTATGTTGTCCTAGAGTGGTCAGAAGAAATGGGGCAACTCAGAGATGTCCGCTAATCCAGGATATAGGGAATCTTCTTGGGGTAGGTGTACTGATTGATCACGTAGTTAGAAAAGATGGCCAATTCTATCAATTTCAACTTCAGCAAGATACAATTTTAGCTATCAGACTTAAAAAAATCTCTCTTGTTTTCTGACACAGACATTTTGTGATCTTGAAAACCTAAGAATCCTAGACATAGCTGGAAATCTTATTCAGATGTTTCCACCAGGAGTAAGTAGAGGGAATTCCTCTTTTAAAAAAATAATTTTGTTTATGGGAATAAAATAATATGGACAGTCAGTAAAACCTGTAGTAATTGGAAACTTGAATTATATAAATGACTCAAGGATTTTCTTTGTTCTAAAATTATAAAACCTGTTCTTTCCCACTCCTTTTTTTGTG